ATTGTTTTATGGAAAATAAAAACAGTGCAAGGAAGGTATTTACAGACAATGGTGACAGCAAAAAAATGGTAATAAAAGGTGAGACAATCTTTAACCTCAAAGTATATTTTAGCTTAAGACTGATCCTGATAGTCACTGGCCCTCAGAGAAGACTCTTTATGTCCATGCATATTTCTGTTGGCATGACACAGCCAAATAAAGGACCAGAGTAGTGTGGGGTAGGAGGGTAAAGTGTGTATGATATTCAATCAGACATATTTTCATATGACCACATGCTACTGTCTGATAACCCAAATATTATTGGAAATAACTAAATTACCATTTAGAAAAAGACTAAACATAGGTGATAGGTGATTGATGACAATTTTCCCGGGGAGAGGGAGTGTCTCTAATTCTCTAGCACATTGTAGTATAGTTGTATTTAGTCTTAAAACATTTAAAATACCCTTCTATATCTGAGTGGATGCTTGTTGTTAACATAATTTAATCATATCGGGATCTATGAACTGTGTGGATTTTGGTTTTGCACTCAGAAATACCTACACAGAAATTTGAAGTAAATGTCTTTACAGTGGCCAGTTAGGAAAACAACATACTAAGGGATGTTTGCACACAATTTTTATGATAGGCATTGACCAGTATAATTATTTTTACCTGTTTAAAAAAAACAAAAATCAATGCATGAAACAGTTATTGAACTTACCCAACAGATTGGCAAATATTCTTTATCCTTCTTAACCCATCTGTTCACTAATATTTAGCTGTATTATTACTACAAATGAGTTGTTTGAGCAGTGCGTTGAAGACAAATTATGTCTTGTACACTGACATGTAGTAATATTTAGCAGCCAATCAAATTTCTCTATATCACAGAAATCACTGCGCTGGGAATGCGTGCCTAACTACCTGATTGGACCAGCCGCAACAATGTGTATAGGTGAACAAATGTAAAGCAAATATGTTGCGCTCGGTCTATGTGAACCAACTGCACACTAAAGTGTTAATACGCAAATCTGTGTAAAAATTGCAACAATCCGTGTGAAAAAATTGATTCAAGTGGATTATTTACATATGACTAGAAGGTTCAACACACAAACATAATAAGAATATTTTTTTAAATATTGGAGGGCCACCACAGAGCCCCTCCTTCCTTTTCAAAGTTTGTTCACAGCTTGAATTAATATCACGATTTAAATTTTAGTTTTCTGTGTTGTTTTACTACGTCGCTAGCCAGAGGTTCACGTGTTTAAAATATACATGCCGAACCAATGAGGTTGATCACTGGCACTAATTCTGAAGGTTCCAGTGTTGATTTTTATTATTCTTATTATGTTTGTGTGTTGAACCTTCTAGTCATATGTAAATAATCCACTTGAATCAATTTTTTCACACGGATTGTTGCAATTTTTACACAGATTTGCTTATTAACACTTTAGTGTGCAGTTGGTTCACATAGACCGAGCGCAACATATTTGCTTTACAATCAAATTTCTCTGTCCCTCTACTGTGGCTTACAAACTAAAGGATACATCTCAGTGGTAAAGTATAAGTGCTAAAATTAATGTTTTATCCCATTAGGTTTAGGATTTTAGGATATGTGCTGATTATTTATAGCACCTAAGAACAGCTGCTTAAACAATGGTTTACTTATTTTTTTTCAGCAGGAAATTGACATTGAAAACTTCACAATTATAGTGGTTTAAGCTATTTTAAACCACTAAACAAATTGTCAAGAGATAAGTATATTTAGCTAAGCACTTGGTTTTCTCACTGAAAACTTAAACATAAGTGGCATTTTGCAGCCAAATTTGAATAACACCCACTTTATATTTGAAACATGTTCCCATTAATATAGCACAACAAGGAGTCGAAATTGTGGTTTCACTTTTGAGGTGTTCTTTCCTGAAAACTCCAGGACTGAAAAATCCTACTTAGTTTCCCCTGTTTGAGGGGGCTGGGCTATTGCATTTACCTTAATTAGCTTTATCTGATCTGTGCTGGCAGATTTCCATTATCAGTTTTAAACTAGTTGTGCAGGACTGTCTGTCCTAACAAAGCGTTAAAGATCTCAAGGCAATTTATTTTGATGCACATTCAAAAAAAAAAATATTTGTCTGTCTTTCTTTGTCTGTCGTCCTATCTTCAAACTGTCCTTCTATATCTACTCAGGGCAGCTTGCCTATAGTGTGCTATGTATAATCCTGTTCTATAGAATTAGCTAAAAGGGTAAGAAGTATTTTAAGGTATAGTGTGTGAATTGGAACACATAACAAACATAGGGTGGAGGTTTCTCAGTTTTGTCTGCAAAAGTGGAAATACACTTCGACATGCAAAGGGAAAATTGACGCTTCTATGATATAATTATATTCTAAATCTGTACACTTATATTGTGCTATGGATTTTTTTTTACTGAAATGCAAATTATCAAAAGTGGCGAGATAACTAGAAAGAATCGGAAGCTTTCTATAATTCTCTTCAGAATAAAAAATAAATACTCAGGACAATTAAATAGAGTGAAATAGGAGATGATGTGTGTATTGTAAAGTTGTGTTAAGTTGTATTGTGTTGTAAAGTTGCATTGTCCTCCTAAAGGTCCTCCACAATGTCACCATTAACCAACATATTGACCAATAGCCAGTCAGTGTGGGTTCTTGTCCTGGCAGCAAGTCATAGAGAACACTGATAAAAGAAAAATGTTCCTGGGAGAGATAGGTGCTTGTTAGAGTGTACCATCACAAGTATTGTTACAGTATACTTTGTATTACAATTAAAAATGGTAGGCCTACCCCAATGTTGACAATAACTGTTACTAGGAATGAAATTTAGGTTGGCCACTACCATGGGTTCAAGGCAAATCCTGCAGGTTTGAACTTCACAGTTCCATGGTATTTAAATCTAATGCACTGCATGGCCTTTGAACTATGGACAGGAGACTTAGAAAGGCCAATAGAGGGTTTTGGTTAAGCCAGTCCCTTTCCTATAAAAATGGGTCACAAAGCAGCCATATTGTCAGTAAAGTAGAAGATGTTGTAGGGAAACCATAGAAAAAGCTGACAAACTGCATAGTGAGAGTTTAAGGTCAGTTAGGAAAATGTACTTCAACCTTTTGCTTGCTCTTTTGCTCGTTTATTCTTATTAGGGGCTTTTTTGTCTTCCATTTTGTATGTGGTTGATTTTTAGGTCAGTGTTAACTTTTAGCTGCTGTCCTATCCATACCTTCTTCACATCAGAGTCCTCAGTCCCCCTTCACATCACGTCCTACCTTATAATCTTCATTACTGCAGGTGTGGACAGAGGCAAACTTCAGATACTTAGTTGCTTTTGTCCTCTGAATGCTGGGGTTGACCCTGAATATTGCCTATCTAGGATTACCACTGTTAATTCCCATGGTGCTGGCAGCTGGGAAAGCAAAAGTAT